CAGATACTTTCAGTAATCTCTAGTGTAAGGCTGGTAACTAGGCTGCAATGGGAGGTCTGCTAAGCCCCTTCAAACACGTGATGCTAGCCTGGAAAATATCCATCAAAATCATTTTCCATCAAAAATGCAGCACTTCAGAAGAACACATCACACAAATGTCTTTCTGTCAAGTCCTCTTTAAAGTATTTTCTTTCAGTAAATCTTCTGGTGTCTCTAAAGTTGAAAGACTTTTTTGGATTTCATACTACTTAGCCATCCATGATGTGCAACAAGACTACTTCGTAGGACATTGTTTATTCTGTCATATCATAACAGATGCAGATATATAATTTGTTACACTGACCATTAAAATAAACAAACAGAAAAATTTTACAGTAGCCACTCACTCAGGACTAACCAGAACATCCTACATACTTCCATTCACTTGGAAGTATTTTTCATGAATACTGAAAACAGTTACTCTGCTAAATAGCACACACTCTTATTTCAGGCATTTCAATACAATATAAAATATCAGCCAATCTGACCATAAAATACTTTATTCATTACAAAATAGCAGCTGCCCTTCATCTTAAAACAAAAATATGGTTACATGTTAGACAGTGTTTCAAAGAATTACCTGTGAAATGTAACTCTCATTTTAATGAAAGTAGCATTTAGGACGGGTTCATAAATACATCAATAGCCTGTAAAATTACAATAACATATCCCCAAAGCACAAAAATATCGACTAAGAAGGAGAGTGCTTCTGTTCTTCACAGTGCTGCTTTGTGGTGAGGACAGTGGAATAGGAGTAGAAATAAAAGAAAAAAAAATGACAAGCACACTGGATAAGTTAAAGTGTTGTATATGCAAAATCAAAACATTGTTTCATGAATGAGCTATCTGACAGTTTTACTGGCAGTTCTACGATAAATCAGTATTTGTTTTTCCTGCCAAAAGAGTATGGCTCTCAAGTTACTCATTTACTGAACCATCTTCCAAGCTGCAGCTATCGTTTTGACAAGGTCAGCAATAATCTCTTTTTCCCTGCTGCCACACAAAGCTCGGCTGTGTTCACCCTACCTCATCTCACAGCTCAGTGACCAGACTCACCTGCTTGATAACATATCGAACTTGCTCTGACTGGAGAACAGCACTTTTAATAGCATTTGGCTTGCAAGGTGAAAGTCCCTTGTAGATCACAGGAGTATAACATTTCATTGCGTATCTCAAGTCACTGGACAACCGTCTTTCCTCCAAGATATCTTCAAACTCATCTCTTTTCTTTGATGTGAGATCTTTCTGCTAGGAACATACAAATGAAGAATGAGACACTGTCTTGAACCATTTGGTGATCTGCTTGGCTACAGCGCCAGAGTAATGGTATGTAATACGTCTGCAACATTTTGGGGTTTCCTTTTAGCTTTCAGTAACATCCTGTGAGTGCAGGAACAAATATTACCTTGAAACAGTGATCTAGAAAGAAACTAAAAAGAAAAACAAACAAACAAACAACCCCCCCCAAAAAAACACCCCAACCCTTTCCAACTGCGAAGATCCTCAAATCACCCTATGCCACATGTTACTTAATTCTGTCCAACCGGAAGAAGTTGAAGGAACACCTGGGCTTTTAAAGCTAAAGTGCCTTGCCTCCAGGCTCTCCATGATTAATAGGTATTAACTAAAACACCTTTGATTCCAACTCTCACAGCTTGATGAAGACAATGCCATGACTGACATTATAAAAACACAATCATCAACACAGAAAAAACAATCCCTGCTACTTAAAGTTGCATTTGGGACCTTGGTGACTTGTGGTGGTTTTCACAAAGCTTGGACGTAAGGTACATGAAACAGCCAAGCAGGAACAAACAAAAAAACCCAACACTGTCAGCCATGAGAAGATCAAAATGCCGTATGGTGCACACGAAGGTAAAAAGAGCACAGCCTCTGAGTAACCAATATCACTGCTAAGCAGGAAAACAACTGGCACATCAAGAAGAATTATCCATCTCGCTGCAGAAATCTCAAAGGAAAAACTCTTCCCCTTGAGTCAATAGATCTCTGCACTGGATAAAGATATCTCCTATTATGTCCTATAACACCACAGTTTGCATGAATGACCCCTTGGTCTTTCCAAGACTGAAACTGTATTTCTCTAAACTTCAAAACAGCAGCAGTAGCCACCAGATAAATAAGACTACTGGAGTAAGTCTCTACGAAACACAAATCTAAAAGTATAGCTTATGATCAAAACTATATCTATCAGAAGAAGATGTTAAAAATAAAAATGCTTATGTCTTCCTCCACAATACCACCTGAAGGGTAGCAAAGGCATCCTTCTCATTCATTCCACTTCTTCTTCCTATATGTCATCTGTACAGAACCAACCTGATAATGAAGAAATAAATCACTTTGTTTCATGGGCTCTTACAGTGACCTTTTCTGGTGCTGAGCAGAAAGCCTTGCCAGCAAACATGCAGGAGAACATCAGGAACAGATAAGCAAAATGCCCAGCAGTGGCAGCTGGGTTTTCAACCTTGGGAGAAGGAGTCAAGTTCCACTGCCAGCTGCCCACAGCGACATCAGCAACACTAACAGAGTAGTTGACATTTAAAGTAGAAAGCAAACCTTTAGTTACTGTCCATTTATCAACACAAAATAACTTGGCAAAACAAAACAAAAAGCTCAAATCAGGAATATCTCCACTGAAGAACGACAAAATTTCCTTCAAAGCCTCAACTGCATCAAAAGCCAAATTCGTTTCACTGGAGGACACAAATCCTACTATAATCTTTGACCTTCTCATGTTCTTTTCACCACACAGTATGGGCAAAAGGACGCTCTCCAAATTTGCCTATACCGTGTGGGGAAAAGAACATGAGAAGGTCAAACATTATAGTGGGATTTGCGTCCTCCAATGAGACCATCCTTCTACTGTAATCGCATTTGGTAGATTGTACAACTTTTCTTTCCAGTGCTGCATTTTAGAGAATTGCCCCACAGTAACAAACTCTCCAGGGACTTTCAAAACAATCCTATATAGGGTATTAAACCCAGGCCCATATTCATGTAAAACTTTTGGGGCTTTTTTTTCCCCTGTATGGTTTACAGCATTACAGTTTTCAATCTTCTTCCACAGCTTTAAACTGTTTGGTATTTTGCAAGAGCTAAGTAAGTTAAGAACTGTTAAGATGACTGGAAATAGTTTGTATTAGCCATCTGCTGCTGCTGACACCTTATATCAACCCTCTTGATTAAAAATAAATCAGAAATAAATCTCTTATGCTCTGTAATGGCAAAAAAAGAGATAGCTCAAATAGCAGCAGAAAATATTATTTGGCTCTAAGTGTACACTTACTTAGATCAGTGTGTGACCAATCAGTTCTCAGAAAATCTGAGCAAAATTTATGTCAATTACAAAAGTTTAAATCCTGCAATTTGCAACTACACAAAACCCAGACAAAGAAAAGCAGCACTCAGCATGGGCATCATCAGCCACATCAGCAGCCACTGCACTGCTACAGTCATTTCCCAACACTGCTCTGGTGAGCAGAGCTTTGCAAAGGCCACAGCCCAGTGAAAAATCACCTCTCTGCCTCTGCTCCTCATTTGATGTTTTCAGACTTGATATGCAACTGATTTCTCTTCATGGCAATAGTTGTTTTTATACCCTGTTCTAAAAGAGCACTGAGGGAGCCAAACCACAAACTTTGCCAACCACTAACCACTTAAGATTTATAACACTGCTTTTACACATTACAGCCAAGCCGCTGTTCCAGCTTCAATTGCCAACTGGTAGAGAGCACACTTAAAAACCACATTGTTGGAAACCTGGACATCAGAAAATTCAGTGACAGGCACAGTTACTGTGACACTGGCGAAGTACAGAAGCAAAAGAGCAGGAGCCTGGAGCTTCTCTGCTTCCATGTAAGTAGGATATGCAAGGTAATGATGGTGCTTGTGTTTCATTTGGTATACCAGAATACTGGCAAGAACTCAGAGAAGAGAAGTTTGGGAATCTCTGCTGAAACAAGGACTGATTTCCCTTTATCCCTAGTCCCGTTCTCCAAATGCTTGGGGGGAGATGGGGGGTTTGAGCACCCCGCACTCAAACCTCGTCTGAGGCTGGTAAAGGAACTGTAGGGAACAAACAAGGTCAATAAAGTCACTTCGACCATGTAACATGGGAAAACCCCTTTCTGCCACTCCATGCCCATGTCAATCTCCCAGTGCTGTATTCACCGTCGCTGGCAGGGCTGTTTTCTGCGGGGCTGGAACCCCGCGCAGCGCCCGGACACCTGCCGCCCCAGGGAGCCGCTCCGGGACACAGCCTCCGCAAGGGAGAGCCACGTCCCACCTTCCCCAACCCGGCTGGCCTTCCACAGCCGGCCTGAGGGTAGACGCGGCGCTCGGGATGGGGATCGGGAGCCCCGGCTGTCGCGACTGACACGACAGATCCTGCAGGCGCAGCTGGGGCAGAGAAGCGGGCCCAGGAAAGTGAGCCGGTAATGGAACCGCTCGGCCGCCACCCGCCCCTGCTGAGCCCGGGACAGGCCTCGTCTCTACCGCCGTAGCGCGGCCCCCGCTTCCCCGGGACCCAAGTCGGGGCAGAGGAGCAAGGGGGATCGCGCCATTCCGCTTCGGACTGACCGGCACCTCACAGTGGCTGAGGCAGCAACCTCTTCCCCGCAGCACCGCTCCCGCCGCCGCCGCCTACCGAGTACATGGGCGCCCCTCGCCGCGCCCGCCCGGGCGCCGCCGCCGCCGCTGTCGCCATGGTCCTGCGAGCTCCGCCGCGCCGCCCCGCGACCCGATCGCCCGCCCTAGCCCGCCGCGGTGCCCTGCCGCCCGCCGCCGCCTCCCGCGGCTCCCATGGCTCCGAGCCGCCCCGGCCCGGCTGCCAGGCGCGGTGCGGCGGCGGAGGGCGGGGGCACCGCGCCATGGGCGGCGCCATCCCGGGGCCGACGGGAGCCGCCGGGGATCACACGCCGGAGCGCCCGCCGACCGCGGTAGCCATGGGGCCGCGGGAGCCGCACCGCCGGCTGGAGGCGGTGCTCGGCGCCCTCTACGACCTGGGTGGGTGCGCGGGGCCGGGCCGGGCGCTGCGCCGGCACCGCGGTCCTGCCCGGGGGCCGGGGAAGGGAGGGGGCCGGGCGTGTTCGCTCCGGAGCGGGGCGGCGGAGGCCGCGCGGGGCTGACCCGCGGCATGTGCTCGGCTCGCAGGTGAGGAGCCCGGCGGCGCACGGGGCGCCGCGCAGGACGGCGAGGGGAGCACAGGGGCGGCGGCCAAGGAAGGAGAAGAGGAGGAGGAGGAGGAGGAGGAGAGCCGGGCGCCGCAGCCGCCGGCGGGCGGGCGGCGCAGGCCCCGCGATTTCTTCGGGGAGCTGCGGGCTGAGCTGAGCGCCGCCGCCGCCACTCCTCCGCCGGCCCCGGCCGCGCCGCCAGCCGTGGAGGTCGTGGTGTTCCGCGGGAGGAAGAGGAAGGAGCGGCCCAGCCCCGCGGCAGCGCCCGCCGGCGGAGCCCAGGTAGGGCCGGGAAGGTAGGGAGACCCCACTGCCCCCTCCCGCAGGGTGGGAGCCGTGGGACGGAGTGCGCTCCCTGGACACGGCACCAGCCCCCTCCCGTGCCTGGGTTTGTCCCACTTGCTGATACAGCTGCCTGGAAATCCGGGATCTTTTGGCGATCCGCGTGCTCAGTTCGATGGCATCCAGTCTTGCTGATTTCCAGCGGGGCTGCTGGATGAAGCAGGGGTGGGGGTAGGACTTGAAGACTACTTTTTTTCCGATTTCAGAAGATCTCTGGTTAAGTATCCTATATTTGAAATAGTCGTATTCCAGCAAAATAAGTTGATCTGCAGATGGGACTAAAGATACGTCAAGTGAATGAAACGGAAAGCAAAGCCTCTTGGTTACTTCAGTGCCCCAGTGTTTTGTCTGCTGCTCTGTTCCTGTCAATAGGTGTGGATGTGAGGTGCCAAATCTTTCTTCTCTGGCATCACAGCAACACTGGGCTGTTGACAAGCAACATGTGTCTTGGAGGATTAGTATTGGGTAGTTGATGGGGGAAGGCATGACAGCATTAGATTTCAGTCTTCTGGTTTGGTTTTTGGTGCTAAATTACCTCGCACTGCCAAAAACTGTAACTGAGTTGCTTCAGTGGGAAGGCCTGGAAGGCTTGTCTGGAAGTTGAGCAGAGGGGAGTCCCTTGCTGGTTAATTGGTCTCCAGATTTATTGCTTCTCTAATTGTTCTTGAGTTGTCTTTATGACCATAATATCAGAAGCCTAACTCTACAATAAACTCTGCTGGGCCATCATATGGCTGTCTGGAATTTGGGGGAGACTTACTGATATCTGGGGTTGAACTGCTTAGATTTGGGAAGTTCAAGAGACTGACCAAGCAGTTGGTTGAATCCATAAACTTTTGTGCTTTTTCCAGAATGTTTTCCTCTAGAAATTACCCTAAGTATTTATTTTTTTATGCTTTTTACAGCTTAAATTTTAATAACTAAGAAGACTGGTGTTAGGCTTGTTAACAAAATGCTCTGAAGATAACCAGATTTACTTGTGGTTGAGATGGACATTTTTATACAGAAGCTTTTGGAGAGCTGTGGTGGATGCACAGGGAAGCCCTGGTGTAACCCTCAGGCCTGAACCGATGACTCAGTGTGGCTTAAGGTCCTGGAGAGTGAAAAGGAAATACATGAAAAGCATATCCACTTCAGCTTTAATGCTTATGTAGTATTCCTGCATCCTTATGGGGGATAGTAGCCTTGAGAGTAAACGGGGAAAGATGAGCAGATGATACTCTTTAACAGATGGCAGTTTCCTTGCCTGTGCTGCCTGCCCACATCAGTGCGCTTGGGAGCTGGCAGAGCTTCCACTCAGAGAGGTGGTTTGGCTTATCCAACCTGAAATCAGTAAGCAGACACTATCTAAAATAATCTTGGGAGATTTGTTAGTGTTTCAAAGTGTCCTGTGTGGGACACTCCTGTAACAAGCAAGCATGGAGCTCTTTTCCTTGGGATTTTACACTTCTTTTTCTTCCTAGGATACAATCTGTTTCCCCGGGAGAGTTCCCCTCCAAACTGATTACTGCTGATGGAAGGTCTCTGTGTAAATCACAGACTAGAAAAGATCTGGTTTTCATTGAACTCCTTCTGAGCGAGTACTTTCTCTAAACAACACTAAGTGGGTTCTACCATTTGCCAACTGGGCACCCTTTGAAGCAGTTTATCTTGCACTAGTGAAGCTGGATATGGGCACTAGTATATACCCATGCATTTGGGAATTAAGCTTGTTGCCCTGGCTGTCGTTACATCCTCTATTACCAGTGTGCTCTCTGTCTCAAACAAAATGACTTAAAATGCAGTTGTCCTATCCTACATTAGCAGTTTGGTATCAATTTGGAAGTGGAAATGCGTGGGATGCGTAGCTCACATGTGGCAGTTTTTCTCTTATAAGATGTAATTATTCTTGAAAATGTATAAATTAATTGCAGCTATTAATAAGTTTCTGAACTATGAAACTTTCTGTAAGCATTAGCAGATAGATGATCTAGTCAAGGAAGTGCAGGACAAAGCTATATGCACTGTACTGTAATGGTACCCTATAAAATGTGCAAGATTGTTCGAATAAAAATGCCATTGAGACTCTCTCTTTTAATAGATCCAGGTAATAAATCTAGAAAAAGATACTGCTGGAAAGCTGTACCTACAGCTCAGTTTACATTTCACTGCTTTTCAAAAAACCTGTTATGATCAACATTTACATTGGTTTTATTTGTTATATTAATTGGAAGTGTTTTATTTTGTTTATAGACCCAAATAGTGAATGAGGAGAAAAATATGAACAAACAAGAATTTAACTTCGAAAAAGTAAGTCTACAGGAGCTGTCCAATCTCATTGTTTTGGTGTGTATGTATCAGTATTTATATCCTTGGGAAAGCTATGGTGGGACCAATGGTAAACACTTCCAGAAATGGCTATCTCTCATAGGTGAGACTTTCCTAATAGGTAATTCTGTCTGCATGCCATGCTGAAGGAGGAACATCCTGCTTTAATCAGCTGCTCTGTGTGAAGAGGCTTATTACAATTCTGTATTTACAGAATTGTATTACAATTCTTCTGATCTTTCAATGGGAGTTTGAGGTGGAACACTGTATGTTAGCTGTGTAAAGCTACTGGAGTACCCATAATGTTTAGCATAGCTCTTTCAGGCCCACAGTGTTAAATCTTGGATTTCTGAAAAAAAAAAAAAAGGGAAAAAAAGGTGTATTGGCATCTATTTGTGGAACAATAGATGGCTTTTTTCCATTTGTCTTTTTATTCTCTTTTGTTCTTATATGAGCATAACTAGCATTGGCCACCTTAGATACTAATTCATTTACAGATGTGTGCAAGTTGTTTATGTGCCTAATCTCTGCTCAGGGATGTGCTATGATCCTGTGAAATCTCTCTCTGGAGATTCTACACAGAACTCCGTGCTGCTAAGAAGAGCGAGGATTTAATCACTGATGTTAAAAAGATTATGAATTCAGCACTAGTTTTGCCAGAGTATTCTTGTGCATTGTTAACTGTATGTATGTGTGTAGTCAAACCACTTCACCATCTGCCCATCCACGTTTCTTACTGGTTAAATTCTCTTTTTTTTTATATGGAGGAGATCCGTTCCATGTGTTGTTTTATGTGAAATGAGGAGAATTTAAAATTGTACCCCGACAGTCCTCATTGTTCACAGATTTGTTGGACAGTGGTTAACTGTTCTACGGTATAGCTCCAAACTCAGCTAGTTTTATTTTATAGCATGCTGATTTCCAGCATTAGCTGGGATTTCCTTGGGAGTATGACTTTGTTGTGGTCTGCCAAGCATTACTTTACAACAGGTTGAACAAATTATTAAATGCTTGCAATTTTCTGTAATGTTCTAGGCTCGTCTGGAAGTGCACAAGTTTGGAATCACTGGCTACAAGAAGCATGAACAACGCATATGGGAACAGGAGCGTGCTATCATGCTGGGAGCCAAGGTACTTGTCACTTGGTTTGTGCTGAGAGGTCACCCACTATTACAGTGCAGGAACATGGTAAAGAACATGGGGAGCTTTGGTACCACTTTTTTAAAACACGAGGTCCCCTGCCCTGGTCCTTTTCCCACCTCATCCTTACTTTTACATCTTCTATTCTCTCTTGTCTATTTTCTGTAGATGACTGGAAAATCAGTGTAGTTGTGTTATCGGAGAATTAGGGACTGGTTAGGCTGAAGAACAACATGTACTGATTTTTAATCAGGCCATTCAAAACTAAATTGTTGGAGAGAGAGGCTTGCTTTTTAAAGCTTCACTCTCCCAATGAGTTAAAGATGGAGAGAACTTTTCAGTTTATCATCACAAGTGTAAAAGAAAAATTATTTTTTATATGTTTTTTATGGAGTGGGGAGAGGCATGAGCTTTCTAGCTCAGTGTGTATGTGGAAACCTTGTAGGACTGATACAGAGCATTATCATTTTCCTCTACTGTCTTCACCAAGAAAGATGCGCTTTCTAGTTGGCTACCTTATAGCCCCTAAGTCCCTTTCTCTCACCCAGAAGGAAATAAGTGTTTCTAATGTTTCACCACCACCACCTGGAAAATACTGTCCGTGCAAGTGTGTCAATAGTTTTTGAACCTATTTTAAAATTTAATCGGTGGTATCCCTCCCAATCTTTGTTGCAGCCCCCCAAAAAGGAGCATGTGAACTACAGGATCTACCAACAGAAAATGAAAGAGAAAAAAGCAGTGAAAGATGCTGATAAGGAAAAGGTTTGTGTGAAATTTTCTGTATAAAAAGGCAGCATGTAAGAGCTAGCCCAAGAGCCTGACAGATAATGCCTCAGGCGCAGGAGGAGTGCCCAAGATTGACACCTGCTGCTCCCCATGGATTGGGTTCCTGGCTCCCACAGGAGTAATCTTATTGGTGAAAGCTGGTTGTGTGCAGTATGAAGGGCACAGAGTTAGTCTTGTGTTGTGGTGGGTTTCACTGCCTCATCCTTTGAGGCTGATAGACCAATGACACAAAATCAGCAGTTGTTTGGTTTTTTTTAATCCTTTTAAGATAAAAAAAAATGGCCCTCAATTAAAGTTTGTTGCATGTTGTCTAGCCACAGAGAGCCGGATCTTCAACTGCTTTTATATCAGCACAATTCCATCTAGGATCTTGCTCATTATTTAAAGCAAGGGTGAGGTTTCTGTTGCATCCATCCTCTAGCACAGCCCGTCTGGCTCTGAGCCTACTCCCTGCCCTCTCATGTAGGTGGGAGCAGGCTGTGGCATGGGTAAATGCTCTGTCAGCCAGTTTCCTGCCACCCTCTTTCCCAGGGACCTACTTCTCTTCCTCTGTCATGTGGCTTGAGGCACATCCAGTGCATGACCAGACATGGTTAAACCCTGTTATTTGACAGATACACTCAGCTGGGGGACAGGGCACACCTGCCTGGTGGCAAGTCCGTCTTTTGACCCTAGGATCTGTCACATGCCCAAGGAGCAAGCCTCTGCTTCTGCACGTGGCAAGGACAGCTTGTTGGGCATGAGTGGGCTGAAAGGCGACAGGAAGGGCTCTGGGCACTCCTACCAGTGGTACCACAATGCGTTGCATCACTTGTTCTGTCAGAAGGTCTCCCAGCTTGCTTTAAGTGCCTGTCACTCTGTGAAGCAAAGGCTACGGTGTGTTTTATGTGCAGGTGGTTGTTTAATGAACACACTCTGTTACTTTTTCATTAAAATATGTATCTTTAAAAACAGGAACATAAAGGTGATTCTCTTAAGAAAAAGAAGAAAGAACAGAAGGAGAGGTGAGTTGTTTTTAACGAGTTGAAATTAACTTGCTTTTATATAGTCTCCCCAGTGAATCTCCCCTGTGTAACTGTACCAGAAGTCATGCACATCAGAGTGGAAAGTACTTCTCCAAATGCAGAACTCCTCAAAAAACAGTGACATTGCTCTTTGTCTAGCAGTTTCAGAGGCTGTAGCTACACAGCTTAACTGAAAATATATCAGTTCTGCCCCAACAAGTCTTAAGACTGCAGCTGGAGGTGAGATGGATGAAAATCCCTGTGTGCCGATGCATCACTTACTCAGAGAATTTGCCCTAAGAAATAATTTATGCAAAATACAAGCTACAGTATACAGAGATTTGAAAGTGAGCTGACATTCTTAATCATAGGATCACTCTGTACTCTTCATGTTCCTTCTCTATCCAAAAATCTTTGTGTTTCTAAACATTTAGAAAGGTAAATCATGCTGTAATGTGCCACAAATTTTGAATGTCTATGAAGGTAAAATGTTCTGGGATCATTACTTGCTATGATTTGACACTCCTTAATACCAAACACTGAATGCATAAATAGGTGACATTTTTCATCATATTAAGCATTTTCATGTGTTTCTGCTTTTCTCTTAATTATTGTTTTTCCTCTTCCTATTTCAGGAAGGCCAAAAGGAAGAAATCAGTGCCTAGCATTTGGCCTGCAGGACAAGTTGGAAAATTCAGAAATGGGACCTTGATTCTGCAAAGCCATGACATAAAGAAAATCAAATCATCCAAAGTTAGGAAATGAACTTAATGATAGAGTGAAATGGACAATTGCATAAGATAGAATTCATATTGCTACCAACACAGACAGAGCCTCTCGCCTACCTACTACGCCATAATTTTTTAAATTTTGTTGTTGCAGGATTTTCTATGTTCCATTCTGCCTTGGGAAGAATATGAGAATTTATCATTTTATAAATAAAAATAAGAGTTTTTATTAAGAAGGTTACACAGCCTATTTTATTAGTCAATATATGCCAAAACAAACATTTCACTTTTTAGAATCAGCTTATTGGCTGTAAGTAAAATATTAATTTAATCCATTAACTAATGGATTAAAATATATATCTCTTCACTTTTATATGGAAGGAATATGGAAAAAGCAATACCTTACTCACTCTGAACCTGAAGTGGGTGGTCTCCAAACATTTACTGAACATAAATTTGTTTCCATATTTTTATGGAGTGTTAGGGGCTAGTGGAACTGCACAGGAGATTTCCTGTCTAGCAAAACCTCAAGGTTTCAAAATTACCTTCTTTGGAATGAAAATAGTATTTTTCTAAAGTTTTGTCCCAGTAGGAGTTACACACTCAACTTGTATGTCTCTGCAGAGATCTTCAAATAAGCAGTTTCAAATAGTGTTTTGTTGGCTTGGATGGTTTGTTTTTAAAAACGAAACCATGTAAGACTGAGACAAAAGAAGCATAGACACTCAATAGCTGCTGGTTGTTCCTGGGAACTTACGTTTGTTTTGTTCGGTGTCCCCATGCCACTAAGGCGTTTCTGTGAAATCTTTGTCAAAACTGAAGTTTTGGGTTTCAGCAGTTTGGTGTTTCTGGAAGAACAGTTTTTTCTTCTGTAGCTAAATATTTGTTGGGGTTTTTTTTTGTTTGGTTTTAAGGTGGTGTATCCTTTAGAACTGGCAATGGTTAGTAACCTTCCAAACTGAAAGAAACTTTGGGGTGTACTGGTACCCCTGTGGGCACGGAGCCTGAGCTAGGTGATCTCTAACCCTGCGCGAGCAGCAAGGTCTGTGTCAGCTTGCAGTCAGCTAATAGAGCAACAGCATCAGAGGCTGCCCTTGTCTCAGAATGGGAAAGTGTTCTGTGGTAGGGAGGGCCACCCCACAGAAAGGGATGCTTTCTGGCACGCTCCTTCCCTCACACCTTCCACCTTACTGGAGGTCCTGGAAAAGTGCTCTGCCACCACAGAGAGGACTAAAAGGAGGGAGAGAGCCTGTAAGAATCAAGAGGCAGGTAAAAAGTGGAAGGGAGTGTTTCTGGAGCCATGTGGGAAGAGGAGGGGTGTGCAGAGTTGGGTTGCTAAATGCTGTTATCACATTTCATTATTGCATAATTTGGTTTCTTGTTATCCAGTATTGGTTCAGATTCAAACTGGAATTAACAATCCTATCTGGTTACAGACTTAATGTCTTATTTCACATTACAGAAATGTTGAATCACCATGGCATGTGAAGGTGTAATCACTAAGAAGAACTGAGTACAGACCATCAAGACTTGTTGAGGCAACAGATGGGTCTTCGATGTTGTGGGATAACCTGTATTTTTTAATTCCTTTTAATCCTTGAGCTTAGTTTTCACTGCTCACTTCTTGATGAAGTTTTGTTCAGCTGGTTGCATATAATGTGTTGTGGGACTTTATGTCCTCAGTCATCTTAGGTAAGTTAAAGGGTTTACTTTCCACCTCCACAGCTCCCAAAAGCTGTTTGGGAGTGAAGCTTGGTCAGAATGGGGTGTCTAATTTTGCAGTCCTGGTCTCAAGCTTATAAGCTCTGTAAAGAAGAGATGAAAAAAATCAGTTCTTAGAAGGCTGAAATCTGAAATGCCAAGTAGACAGTGGAACATTAAAAATTTTGAGGGAAGAAAACGAAAAGTTATTCAAAGTGTTGCATCTTCACAGTCATAATGTTGGTGTGTATGCATAATGAAAGCTTTTTTACATGGTGATAGGTTGCTTATTTATATCAAATCTCCAAGGTGATTTGAGCTGGCCATGCTACATTCTTGTAGGATGCTGTCCTCAGGTAGGCATGGTACTTTTAGTCCTGTTTTGTTACTAGATGCATCAATCACATCTGGCAAATAAAACTGTTCAGAGCCTGTTATGCACCAGTGTTTTTCTGGGCTGGCATGTGCTGGTAATTAGCAGAGTACGTAAGTTTGTGTTCAGGCAGCAAGCTCTGTTGGCTTCTAAGCACATGCTTATACATGAATGTCAATGTTGACTGAATAACTGGAAAGGGGGAGCAGGACCCATGTTCTTTTGCCCTCTACTTGCAGTTGCATACAGGAGTGAAGTATAAAGGATGAACAGAAGGATTTTTCCTTATCTACCTTCTCTTGCATGCCTTTTCCTACAACCCTTATCTTTATTCCCTATGTTTCCCCATATGCTAAAGCCATTGTGACTATCTTTTCTCCCAGTCAAACCCTTTTCCGTGAAGGAGTTGATGCCAGGTTGTTGTCTCTTGCAGGAGAAAAAAAGAAAAGGTGTAATAGATGGTGTCTCCACAGTTGTCTGTAGTTACTTCTGATTGTTTTGGCTAGGTTCCTGTTTCTTAACCTGATGCTGCTGTCACTGTTATCACCATGCTTTATTCTGCTTTGTGAAGGTTGTGTGGCTTCCATGACTGCCTTTTTGCAGGGGCTGTGTACTGCCTCTGTAGGATTGCTCAGTCCCTCACAAGCCATCAGCTTGATAAAGGTGTGCAGCTCCAAGATGACGGGCCATTTTAAACCATCTCACAAAGTTTTTGCCTCCCCTGCCATGACAAGCTTTCTACCCAGTTTGACTTTCACCCCAAGGACTTTCCAATCGGATCCTAGCGGTGTCACAGTTCTTTCCAGGCTCTGTTTACTTCAGTGTCAGAAATTTCTGGAGACTGGGAAGTCAAGTGAAGTGTCTTAGGTGGGATGCAACTAAATAATATGTCCCGTATAACCAGTGTGAGCCAGAGCTAACAAAGTGGTACTGGGAAAGAGAGGTGTTTCATGCCACTGAATCCAGGGTATGTCTGAAGTTAAGGCACAGGTGGTTGCTCTGGGGGAGGACTCTTGGATTTCTCAGCTATGGAATTACTCTTGATTGTGGTAACAAAGCAGGTGCCAACAGTTAGAATTAGGCGTGTGTTCTGCATAAGTGCCTCATCTACATTATGGCATAATATTTTTTATAACCATCAGGAATAATAAATACAATTCCAATGCTGAATTTGTTGGCAATGTTATAAGAATTTATTTAGAAACTGTAAAACAGCAAAAACTTATACATCAGGTTTTCCAAAAGGGGAATAATAATAATACACAAACTTTTAGTTGGACCAAAAGACAAAAAGCGGTTTGTTTCTAATTCAAAAAATACAAACATTTGCTACAGGTACAAAATTATAAAAAGTTTGTATTTTCCTTTTGATCTGGTGATAGACACGTAAAGCAGAGATGTATATTTCACCAGCTCCAAATTAATATAAGCTATGGGAAATGACAGTAAAGACAAAAAAGTGTTGTAGTTAAGAAGAAAACATAGAAACAACTTCTTGTCTTTCATTTAACCAGAAGTGAACACCATTATCTTATTCCTTTGCGCTTTTTTGGTTGCCAACATTTAAATTAGTGTTATTCATGCTTCATATGACAATCAGAAATAACAGCAGGTTTACCTCATGCATTTATTTTTAATATTCATCACATAATATCTTCTCACCATGCTACCTAGAAAGGTTAGTGTTTTTATTGACAACATTTAAGGGAGGTGGAGGATGGTGGAATGCAATCAGGATCCAGGAATATTTCTACCTACTGCTTCATAAGAATCAGTTAGAAACCTTCCAATTAGCTTAAAAAATAATTTTGTAATTAATTCTGCGTGGAACTGTTTGCAATAACAAATGTAACAAAAAGGTCATTTAACAGAAGGGGAAAATGCTGCTGAGTGTCTCTGTCAGTGGAACATAGGTCTGTCTCCTGTATTGTGCAAAGATGCAGGAGCACTTCACATCCAGTCTCTGAGGTTTGTATATGGGCTCCTGCACCTCAGAAGACCAAGTGCATTCTGATTTATAGGGAATTTGTGCTTCAGGCTGCTGCTCCACCTGGCTGTGTGTGTGCGGCATTCAGTAGAGCTGGGCAGAGGAACCACCAGAAATGTTGTCAGTAAAAACTAGAAGCAGCTCACTTTTTTATTAAAAAACAAGAACAAAAAAAAGACTCCATCTTTGCCTGGTAATTTTCAGTGACAAGTGCCCTTTACATTTGCTACATGGTTGATCTGAAACTGTAATCTCCCTTACAAAGTTGATCTAGCCAAGATGCCTGGTGTTTTCATATTATCTTCCCTGGTTCAAAGTTGAACTCTTGACTTTGCTATTTAAGCAGAATGCTGCAAAGCTGGTAAGGCCTGAGATAAGGTCTAACAACTCTCCTAACTCATCTTTCTGTTTGTGAGCAAAGGACGTACTAGGTGGCACTAGAAAGCTGCTGTCACCAGGTTGATTTTTTTACATCTCTTCTCACAGGAGTGGGTAATTTGAATTGTGGTCCAGGAATGCACTACCTCTTGTTGGCAGTTGCAAACGTGGTGTTTTTCATATACTGGTAGTGGCAGCTGAGCCTTGATTTTGTCTCTCTTACCTTGTTTAAGAAATGTTATCATGTAAGAAAGAAAGAAAAAAAAGCTGCATCTCACATTTCTTCTTGCTCTAGAACAACTTGGAAACCAGAGTATTAGGTGCTCTCTGCTACCTTTGCTAACTATACTTTGAGGGGAAAAAAAAAAAAAGCCAAAACCCAACTTGCACAGCACTATCACAGAACTCTATCACCAGCCAAGAACAAACTACAACATTACACTATTATGGCATTATTTACAACATGATGGAACATTATGCATATAATAAATTACATTTAATACTTTTCCTCTTAAACTCTGATATATGTAAGCTCATGCTTATTTTATTTATTTTGTTCAGTCCAATATATTTTCTTTTATGTATCTCAAGTGCATAGGCAAATATAGGAGGTGACAGTGCTGTCTGCCTATCTTATTCTATGTTTTTAAAAGCCAAATTGCTTTCCAAATTCATGATGCATCACAGTATGCTACTGTCCTCACTGACATACAAATTTATTTATAGCACATACCTTTCCACAGCAGAAGGAGCAAGGGATTGTCAGCTAGGTCTGTGCTTATACTGACATTACGTCTTAGTGAGAGAACTTCTTGTGAGCTCATTTTTAAATTGATGAGGGAAAAGAAGGTGGAGTAGAAATTTTGTAGCATTGCATGCCTTGGGAAGTCTTACAGTGCGCCTGATGGCACACTACTTCTGTTTGTTCCCACTGAAGTTGATGGAAATTTGCAGAGGAAAGAGCCAGGAAGCAAGCTCACAAAGGCTAAGGTTGGGGTTCACAGGGGTAGGTGAAAACTGAGAGTCCTTTGTTGCTCTGCAGGACAGAGAGTTTGCCTGCTCTATTTACTTTGCAGCTGTTCAGAGCTTCCAAATTTGTGTATGCAGAAATTAAGCTTTGTTATATTTATTAGGGGAGGGCTTGTTTGTGTTTTGGTAGGTTTTTTTTAAAATTAGGTCAATTTACAGCTACCTTGTGTGGGCTCTGTACTATAGTTGATGGGATTCATCCCAGTGCAAAAGGCTTTGCTCTCCTGCTTGTAAGTAGCAGCCTGGCCTCTGGCAGCCAAAGTGTCCCATGACAGGCAGCTTTGTGTAATGTCTAGGTGCTGGAAGAGCTTGGAGTCCCAGAGAGACGCAGAAATACTCTGAGGAATGAAAAGGGTGCAAGAGCATCCCAACTGGTCTCCTTGGAAATCTATGCTGCCCTTCAGCCCTCTGGGTTCTCCCTGGACAGTCAGCAACACAGTTTCTGCAAGGACCACATTTCAAGTTTCTGCAAGGACTAAAAGCTGACTCCTCCTAAAGAAAGGATTTGGAGGAAACAAAAACTGGCATAAGAGATACTGTAGGTGAAGAACCTGCAAACTTGCTGGGTTTATAATGAGATGGACCTTGGGGAAGTTACCTGCAGAGAAAGAAACTAACTCTAGCCTGAGCAGAGCAATGGGAGTGTCCTACTTCTCCCCAGCTGATGCTGTTCTGCCAAGGGAAAATTCTTTTCTGCCTATTATCAAATGACCACTGCCATCCAGATGCTCTGCATAAATATCCATGTGTGGAATAATTAGTTTCTTAGAGTAATTTTAACTACTTAAGCATTATTTCTCTTAATCAAACTCTGAAAATGTACCCAGCTGAAGTAACAAAACTCTGTGAGGGTAATTGGTTTATTGCTATGGGCCTCGCCAAAGGTGAGGTGTATATGTACACAACCAACACACACAAACACTTTGTTTAGTTTTTGGCCTAAGGTAAATTAGTCTTACTAATGCAGGTA